GCTGGCAACCTTACTGGCTCGGCATTTCGGAGGAGGGTAACCGTAACCTGCGCCTCCTTATTGGAACCTGGACGGGATACAGCAGAGGATCAATGAACTCCGTACAGTCGCCCAACAACAGGACATCCAGGTGATCTTGCTAGGAGAGACTAAACTAAGACCATCGACGCATCTGAAGCTGCCGAATTATCATATCTACAGGCAGGACGAGGTCAATCCTCAAGGGACCGCCTATAGAGGCACGGCGGTTCTAGTGAGGAGAGACAACGTCCACCAAGAACTAGACCTGCCAGACTACCAAACAATGCGTCCTATCGGCATAAAAATGGAGGCTGCGGGTGAGGAACTAAGGATCTACACAGCATACCGTCCGCCAGGGAATCCATTTTACTCCTCAGACGTCCGAACGGTAATGGAAGGCACAACGCCCACCATCATCGCCAGGACCTAAACGCCAAACACCCAGCGCGGGGGTCTAGACTGATCAACCCGCCCGGTCGTGTACTATATAAAGATGCGGAAGAAAATAACTACGACATTTTAGGCTTCGAGGAACTAACCCACGTCCCTACTGACACACGCAGAAATCCGGACATACTGGACATCGTGATCTCTAGGAACGTCAATTGCCCGATAGTGGTAGAGATGCTGTACGGCCTAAAACACAGAACCTCCCGATACTAACCACCCTTGGTCTCAAAGCAGTGACTACACCGCCCAGAGCCTTCAAGACCAGAATCGACTGGAGGCTCTACCATCAACATCTACAGGAGAGACCTCCAGTCTATACACCAATCAACACAGCGTACGACGTAGATGCTGGTGCAACCAAGATCACAAAAAAATATCCAAGAAGCCCTCAACGCGGCCTCTACGGTCGTCCCATTAACTACAAGAAAAGACGTCCTGCCGCGCAACATATGCGCTCATATTAAGCGCAAGAGGGCGCTGAGGAAGCTCTAGGCGAGTACTCGCTGCCCAAGATTGAAGACAAAGCTTAATAACTCTCGGATGAACTGTCGGTTGCAATCCAGACCCACAGAGGAGAGGCCTGGGAGCGGCGCATCGTGAATGCGGAAGAGCAAGATGCGTCGCTTTATAAATTGAACCGACAGTTAACTAAAACAAGACCCGCCGTATGCCCGCTGACCAACAATGCGGGCGACCGCTGTTATGATGCCAAGAGTAGAACAGATATCCTAGTAGAGCAATTCGAGGAGCAATTTATGCCGAACCCAGCAAGTGCGGAGTTCATGGATCTTCATGCCCGGAAGGAGAGCCGCGTCCAGGAGTTCCTGTAGTCGCCCGCGTCACCACTTGCAGGAGAGTAGTACATCTCCCCCGCTGAATTGTGGAGGACAGTGACCCGCCTGCAACCGAGGAAGGCGCCGGGGCACGACGGGATTACCAACGCTGCACTTCGACAGCTGCCCAACAGGATATTAGTAGAATAAGGACGTCACTAAAATGGAATACTGCGGAAATCCCACTTCCCGGAGGATTGGAAGATCGGCAAGGTCATCGTGTTGCCGAAACCCGGGAAAGACAGACGTAGAGCTGTCGCACATAGCTAAACTGCTTGAAAGATTACTGGTCAGATGCCTCCGCCCGTGCATACAACTTCGGGCGGAGCACCATGGATTCAGGAGGGATCACTCAATAGCAACACACCTGACCAGAGTGCTGCGATACCTTGCGGTCACACATCGTTAGGCATCCTTCTCGATATAGAGAAAGCGTTCGACAGGGTATGGCACTCTGGATTACTCTACAAGCTAGAAGATCAGACTAGTTTCCCCCCTACTATGTAGTTGCTAGTAGCGTCATTCCTGGCTAACAGGAAGTTCTACGTCTGTGTAGAGAAGGCCATGACTGCAGCAAAACCCATCAGAGCCGGCGTACCACAGGACAACTGTCTGTCTCCAGTTCTGTATGCGGCTTACACCAACGACATCCCAACACTGGCTAGGACTAGTGCGCGAGTGAGAGGACGAGGTAGATCCGGCGCTTTATGCGGACTTCTACTTCACTTACTTCACCTCATCCAGAAGAGCCCACATCGCCACTGGCAGGATGCAAAGGCGGTCGGACCTGCTGCCACCATAGATGGATGAGTGGTGGATGGCCTTCAACGTTGATAAAGACGACCGCTCTGCTCACTCGCCGCTTTAGAAACCTACCATGGCCTCAGAGGCCAGGACATCAGATACGAAAAGGCCGTGACGTATCTTAGATGCCGGATCGACAAAATGTTGCGCATGACGGTGCACGTCGATCTCGTCGTCCGCAACGCAAGAGGTGCGCAGGCGTCGCTCCGTTCCGTCCTGGCATCCAAGCTACTAATCAAGACCAAGATCAAGCTGTACAGAATGTACATAAGACCCGTACTCACTTATGCTACTCCGTCCTGGTATGCGCTTCTAAGCGATCGGCAGAAGCGGCGACTGCAGGCCCAACAGAACCTAGCACCAAGGACCAACCTGAAAATTGAATCCATCGAAGAGTTTGTGGTTCGGCTGTCACGCGGTATGTTTTTTTTTTATAGGAGAGGGAGCAAACGGGCATGCGGATCACCTGATGGTAACTGAATAACGCCGCCCATGAACAACTGCAACACCAGGGGAACCAGGGGAATTGCAGATGTGTTGCCGGCCTTTTAAAAACGAGTAGGCTCTTTTCTTGAAGGTCCCTAAGTCGTATCGGTCCGGAAAAACCGCTGATGGTAATCGATTCCACAAGGAAGTCGTGCGAGGAAGAAAACATATTCTAAATCGCACAGTGGTGGATCGCCAATCATCCAGATGGTGGAGTTGGTATCTTGAGTTCTGCCGCGATGTGCGTTCGTGAAATTTAGCGGCTGGGATTAATCCGAACAATCCTCTCTCCCCTCGGACTTCTGTGCTCATCAGACGTATTTTAAGACTAGTCCGCACTTATATTTTTTAAATTTAATCAAAATTGTGAAGTGTTAAATTCTACGAAATAATAGGAGCGCATAAACTATAAGAAGCACGTATTATCGCTGTGTGGTAATGGTGAGTGAATCTAATTACGTTATTCACTTACTCTGTGATAAGTTATAATTGTGCACTACACACATACGCAAACTGCATACTTGTGCAACGACTACGTGCTAACGCGCAGTGCTTGAATATTCTGTTTGCCTGGTACTTTCCGTCGCTAACGCCTTGCTATGCCGCTTAAACGCACCCCTCCTACTACGCCAACCGCAATGTTGCATTGTAAGTCAGACTCTAATATCACTGACTCGGTGACAAATGCTACCAGTAGTAGTATTGCAGTGCCTACCGTTTCGCGCACACAAGCTACGAGTGATCCTAACATTGCAATGCGGAAACGTAAGAGAGATACCGATATTAGCCGCTCGGAAATTATGGAAATGTTTTCTGAGCTCAAAAAGGAACAAAACGCTAAATTTAATGCCCTGATGGATAAAGTTCAGAGTGGTATTAACACCCACACAGAGCAAAATAAGGCTATTTCTAGTGCTATTGACTTTTTAAGTCAAAAATATGATGAGTTACTCTCAAGAATAAATTTATTAGAACAGGAAAAATCCACCAATCACAAATATATACAGACTCTGGAGATTAAACTGGAACAGTTAGAGCATCATCATCGCAGCTCGAGCATTGAAGTGCGTAATTTACCCAAAAAAATCGGGGAATCGAAAGAAGACCTGCTAAATATTATTAAAAAAGTAGGAGCTGCTATCAGTGTACCAATTCAACCCGAGGACGTCCGTGACGTCTATCGTATAAACACTAAGAAAGTAAAGAACCAACCCATAGTAGCGGAATTTTCAAGTGTGCTCTTTAAGAATAAAATAGTTGAATCCGTCAAGGCATTTAACACAAAAAATACGACCTGCAAGTTAAATACATCTAACTTAAACCTTGATGGACCACCCAAACCAATTTTCGTCTCTGAGAGTTTGACAATTAAGGCAAAGAGACTCTTCTTTTTAGCCAGGGAATTTGCTAAGAATAATGCCTTTAAATACTGCTGGACATCAAGAGGTAAAATATATCTTCGGAAGGAGGATGGAGCACCATTTGTAAGGGTTAATAGCGAAACCGACCTTGAAAACATTAATAAAAAATGACTAGATTTACTCATTTATACTATAGGTTATCATAAAATATGCATGTTTGATTGTTTTCAAAATTATATAAGTGTTTATTGTTTAATTAGAACTTTTTTAACACTAACTTATAAACGTATTTCGCAGATACCTTTTCATATACTATCACTGGCACCTGAATACATAACCTTAATATACATAAATTTGCATTTGCTTACATTTAAAAATTTTTTACACAAAATTCACACTTACACACTACTTTTACACTTAAGATTAACAAGTATTAAATACTTCAGTAATATGCATCAATTCTTGGCCTCTCAACCTAGATATCTTATATTACTTTACTTTGCAATACTTATTTTTCAGAAATATGTTAATTGTTGCGCACTACAACCGATCGGTATTTTATTCGAAACGGATGATAACTCTTTTATCACCATCGGAGTGTACATATACATTAGGGTAAAGTATTTTTCACTAAGTGACTTAAACATCCTTAAATTTTTAAATTCGTATATTATTAGTAAACACACACTCGTAATTATTATTTTGATTATACTATATATTAATTATAGCTTTAAAATTAACATTATCACTCCAATTGTTTATTTTATACTATTAGTGAAAGAATTTGAGTTTAAATTGCACTATGGAACGTATTTAAGTAAATCCCAAATACTTAGTTATGGGCACTTACTTATAGTGGTTGCTTTACATATTTATTGCACACAATTTAAATGTTTGGTCTTAATTACTAATATAATTAAAAGGCGATAGCACAAAAGACTTAAGCGATGATCTTGACCAATTTTCAATATCAAACGCATCACTACTTTATGATCTGGATAATTTGTCTAGGTTAATATCTAATCAAAATTGTAACTTAAAAATAATGCATCAAAACATTAGAAGCATAACTCGCAATATGGATGAACTTAAAGTTCTAATACATAGGACAGCTTTAGAATGGGACTTAATTCTTCTTACAGAATGTTGGTTGCCGTCCACCCACTATATTCCGATAATGGATGGCTATAACTACTGTAAAACTCTTAATAATGCAACCCAAAATGAGGGTGTAGTAGTGTATTTCAAAAAATCTTTGAATATAACCTGGCAGGAGTTGTCAATATCAGATTGTAATTCTATATTTCTAAAAATATGTAAGGACACTATAGTCATTGTAATTTATAGACCACCTGGATTTAAGGATCCCACAAATTTTATTGAATCGCTTAGTAATATGCTCGATCAATATTCACATTATAAAAACATAATTATTATTGGCGATATTAATATAGATATTGTCATACATAGTAAAGACTCGTACGCTTCATATTACTTAAATAGTCTAGCATCTAAAGGTATGTTACCTGCCCACACCTTCCCTACCCATGGCAAAACGTGTCTAGATCACGTTGTATTGAAAACAAAACTACAATCAACCTGCTACGTTGCGGAGACTTCCATTACTGATCATGACACTCTTATATTTCTATTTGAGGCTAATTTCAGTACACGTAGTTTGCCACCAAAAATTAGAGAACGTATAAATTATGATAAATTAGATAGTTACCTTAGCACTTTAGACTTTAAAAGTATTTATTCTATGGTGGACGTTGACTTAGCAGCTACATTCCTGATGGAATCCTTAAGTAATGCTTTAAAAATTAATACAAAAACAACTAAAGTTTCTAATCGCAAAATTATTAAAAAGCCCTGGATTACCCCAGGTATTTTGAGATGCTTAAGAAATCGGGACAAATTACACCAAAAATGTAAAAAATATCCGGATGATGACGTAATCATAACTACATACAAACGTTACCGTAATTACTGTAATGAACTACTTAAAAAATTGAAAAAGGAATATGAAAAATCAGAATTAACAGCAGCAGTTAAAATAAGTAATAAAAAACTTTGGGACACAATTAAAATAGTCACAAATATGAATAAACAAAATAATAAAGCCGATAAATTATTAAACAAATCTGACCCCATAACTTCAGTTAATTATGTTAATTCATTTTTTATAAATATGGGTAAATCTTTGGCAGAAAAACACCACATTAATAACAACACGTCTAGCATTTTTCCTATAAACACATATCAGCATTCCATAGTACTTCTTGACACGGACGAACATGAAATAGAGACAATTATTTTAAATATGAAAACTAATTGTAGCGTAGGTAGAGATAATATTTCTACTTTCTTTCTAAAAAGGTACAGAAATTTACTAGTCCCTCCCATTACATATATATGTAACCTTTCCCTTAAAACTGGTAAATTCCCCAACTGTTTTAAACTAGCTGAAATTCACCCTATTTACAAGAGCGGTGATGCGGGCTGTGTCAATAACTACAGACCCATTTCCATTCTTCCCACTGTGTCAAAAATACTAGAAAAAGTAATCAACAAGCGCTTGACTAATTACTTAGAGAAACATAATCTGTTATCACATTGCCAATATGGATTTCGACCAAAACGTTCTACACAGGATGCAGTTCATGAACTAACTGATTTCATTGTTACAAACCTTGACAGTAAAAAGAAAGTAGTTGCTATATTCCTTGATCTAGCTAAAGCATTTGACACCGTCTCCGTTCCGCTTTTGTTGAATAGGCTAGAAGATCTTGGAATAAGAAATACACAGCTGAAACTGTTCTCTAACTATTTAACGGGTCGATATCAGAGGGTACGGATTGGTGGTTGCTGCAGTGATGATCTTCCCGTATCATATGGTGTACCACAGGGTAGTGTACTTGGTCCAACGCTATTTCTTACATATATTAATTCCCTATGTAATGTAAAAATTCACAATGGGAGGATCATTGCTTTTGCGGATGACATGGCTCTTCTTTTCCAGGCTGATACATGGTCTGAGGTATTTAACTTCGCACAAAATGGGTTTGATTTAGTAAATAAGTGGCTAAAAGAATATAAACTTACATTAAATGTCGATAAAACAAAATACATAGCATTTACTACAAAAAACATCAATGTACCTGAATTAGAATACTTCCACATTACAGCTCACTGTTGCTCTCAAATTGATAGCTCTTGCTCCTGTCCTACACTCTCTAGAACGGATTGCATAAAATATCTCGGCGTAATGATAGATAACACCCTTAGCTTTCACTTTCATATCGGCCTCTTAAGTACAAGGATACGTAAGTTAATTTATATTTTTAAAAATCTACGTCGTGTTGCAGATCATAATGTAATAAAAATGGTATATTTTGCACTATGTCAATCATTGTTGATATATTGTATTACCATCTGGGGAGGCGCACCTAAAACAACCATGTTGCAATTAGAAAGGGCCCAGAGGGCGGTATTAAAAGTTAGCTATTCTCTACCATTCCTTTTCCCTACAACTGACCTTTATCAACAGTGTAGTGTCTTATCTGTTCGCAAATTGTTTATATTACACACTGCGCTACTACAACATTCTATGATACAGTATGAGTCCTCCAATAATGACAAAAGAAGGAAATATGTAGTTTGTCCCAGTAAATGTCTAAAGACCCAATTTTCACATAGATTTTTCTGTTTCCTGGGAGGTTACCTTTATAAAAAATTGAATAAACGTTTATTAATTTACTCTCTAACAAAACATGCATGTAAACAAACATTACAGAAATGGTTGTTAAATATCGATTATAAGGCTGCTGAAAATTTACTGACAGTATTATCCTAAAAACACATACCTAATACAAACACACACACACACACACACACACACACACACACACACAGACACACGCACGCACGCACTATTTTTATTTATATAGAAATAATTTTTTAAAAAAACATATAGAATCATTCCTTGTAGTATAATTGAAAATGTAAATATTATGTGCAATTCGTTAGGGTGAGGGCCTGGTGATCTATAACACAGGGATTACCCTAGTATGGACACCAGTCTCTCACAAAGGTTACAAATTCTCTGCAACCGTATTATTTACCTAAGTAATAATGTGAAATTTTATACCTTTGTGAAGAGGAAATAAAAATGATTTATTATTATTATTATTATTATTATTAATTCCTCAGAGCACTCCCCGTGGTAAATGCGAAAGAAAATGCAAAAGGATGCAACATCTCTTCGCAGTGCCAATGAATCGAGCCGATCAGAAAGGACTAGGTCGTCGAAGATTCGAGCCGCTCTGCGCTGGATGCAGTCAAGTGGAAGGAGCTGGCACTGGGGAGCCCCTGCCCAGAGATGGGAACAGGAGGCCGAATCTGCGCCTTGTAAAGTTACAGGCGGTGTGCCGGCATGAAATACTGTCCCGCTCTGCTGAGCATGCCAAGCTTTTTAGAGGCCAATTTGGCCTTCTCTTCCAAGTGACCACGAAACTGTACGTCACTCGGTATATTTAGCCGCGCTGACAACGGGCCACACCGGACGGGCGACCTCTACCAAGAGAACTCCTCCCTTTATAGATTAGGGAGTTGAGTAATGGCCCACGATGCCACAGATTGACCATCAAAGACGTTTATACCACATATATTTTACACCATTATGCAGCGACCCTGGAATCGAAACTATGACTGCTGCATTTTATAATGATTAATGCCAAGAAGGCACCCAGGACCGCCCCATAGTAGTGGGCTGTGAGGAAAGTCCAGGCAATGGGGAGTGTCCCGAGGCCTGATAACTGCAGTGCTTCCAGCACTTGCAGAAGAAACCAACGTAACGTAGGTTAAGTTGTTGAAAATCACTATTAAACAACAAGAAGAAATAGTAAACATAAGAAATACTCTGAAGAAAAACAGTGAACAACTAACGGTGAATAACTCATAGGCAAAAACCGATAGTGAACAACCGTAGCCAACAACCGTAGTCAACAACTGTAGTCGACAACCGATTGTCAGAAGATTTCCGCCGAAAATTTGAGCCGTCGAACCACTTGCCACTGCCTTGCCATTCGTATCAACAACTCGTGAATTAAGATTGGACGTCCATAGTATCCCAGCCACAGCCACCGACGGCGGTTGAAGAACTCGGAACCTATAGGTGCAGGACTTGAGTGACTCGTTCTTCACTAACATTTACTCCTCGAGTTGTGCCCGTCCGGCACAAATTGTAAAGAGTCATTTAAAGAAAAGCTTAAAGAAATGAATATATTATAACTTGACATATAATTTAACTTAAAATTAAAAGTGTAATTCCACAGAATCAGTAATTTTAACACTTTTACAAAAAGATCGTAGTGTTCGATGTTTTTTGTTATGTTATTTACAATCAAAATTTTATACAAAAACTGTATATGAAGGGATATTGTGATATTTAATATTACATGCATGAAAATCAACCTTGGGGATTAGGTCATCTCTACAATGCTGGTTCTTTTATAATTCATATAAGTGATCTATATACACATGATTATAAATAAAATTGAAACAAATGTTGCAAACATCAGCATGTCAATATAATTAGAACCAAGCGGTTTGCTTCGACTTTTGTACGAGTAATACGTACAGCACAGAAATGGAATAATTTGCCGGTATCTATATTTCCGTCCGAGTGCAATCTGGGCGTCTTCAAGGCAAGAGTGAATAGGCATCTGTTACGCTAAGACAGTGCAATTTATCATCTAGAGCTGCATCACCACTTACCACTAGGTGGGAATTTGGTCAAGCACTGGCTTATAATAAGTTAAAAAAAATTAATAAATGCCCACTACAAAGCTGAGGGGGTTATTTTCATGCTATTAAATTATGAATAACTTTTTTGTTATTTCTGTCTGTCTGTTTTTCGATAATTGAAATGCTTGCCCTTAAAAAATACTGTTATAGGTCTGGAGGTATTTTTATTTATTTATTTAAACCTTTAGTCACGAAAAATAATGCATATAGAGGATTCAATGCCTCAACCAATTCTCTCCCAGTTATATATTAGGCTAACCAAACGTAAAGATATTGGAGGTAGTGTAGCAAAAATGTATCAATATGATAACGAAGTATCAACCTCCATATATTATGTATAAAGGATTAAAGGCGTTAGCAACTTCAGATTATCCGAAGAACAGATAAAACAATTATAAGAAAGTCTGAACGGTATTGCAATTAAGATTTGAAGTATTTAAGAGCACAAGGATCGTTGGAAGGCATTTTTAAGTTCTACGCGGATAAAATCGCGGGTAAAGGCTATTTTTGTATAATTTTATTGTAAAATATTATGTTAAATTCATTCTGTTAGGACTCTTTTTAATTATTCCCAGGACAAAGGTATTTTCTGAACTAGTGGAATATAAAATTGACTTTCAATAAGAATAATGTAATTATTACATATTTATTGAGTAATATATGTTTAGAAATGTCATCCAATAATGATTTCGTCGAATATAGAGCCATCCAAAAAAAATTATAGTAAATATTTCGTATATAAAATCAAGTAAAATTTAAAAATAGGTCATGACTGGATATTGCACCATTCATTAAATTTTAAACAGCTTGCCTGTGACAAGTTCTTTAATGTGCGCTGTTCTCACACGACATAAATAACTAGTACATCATGGCCCAATTACCAGCATGAATATGAAAAGCAAATTCGACATACTTTCAGGTTCTGTTTTTCCTGATGAATAGTTAACATTAATTATAAACCAACTCCTTAAGTGGAAGCAATACTTTTATATTTAGAGTATTGTTTTTTTATGAGTATTCAGTTTGTTTTTTGGAACAATCATATTCATGCGGTGGTTGTGTTGATAATTTTATACGATTACTTAAAAAAATACCTAATTGTCTTGGAATCAAAATTTATTTTTATTATTTCCATTTTACTCTTTACATTCATTCATAATTAAAAAATATAATATTTAGTTTTAACAAAATAATGATGAATTTGATGGTCTTCTATCAATTAACGCTAAAATGTTTATTTGAGATAATTTATTCATATCATTGGTCATATTTAATATTCATTAGCACCATAATAGATATGGATATTTTTTTATGTTCGAGTAGACTTCAAAATCTCATAAATGCAGTTACATAATAATGTATACTACACATGGAAAAAAAATAAAGTTATGGACTTTATCATGTTTAATTTTAACTTTTTTTACATAGTCCCAAACAAACTGATAGACAACAAATCCTTGCAATAGATCACCAATTCCTAACAATGATGATTCCTGAGGCTATAGAAACTAAAAAACATCCTAATTTTAATAGGGAAAATGGCTGAGTGCTAAGGACCCCATAATTAATAAATATCAACCCAAGCATACCGCTGCATTTATCTGGGGGCACGGCAGTACCCCCGCTAAGTAGAGCAAAGAAGCGGCACGGCCGTACCATCCCTTTCTCGAAGCAGTTTAGGTAATTTTCGACCCCCTATAACTTTGTTGTGGATAAAACTAGAAGCCTGAATTTTTAGTAACCAGACAGGATTTGTATTTACAAGGTATATTTCTAAATTCATTACCTGATGGTAAAAGGTTGCTGTGGCCCATAGAAATCTACATCTATCTTCTTTTGCGAATTAAATTGCAGATGCGTTGTCAGCCGTGAGGACTAAGATAGAATGCCTCTTTTCAAGTAAAAAGGGTCACCAGTTCTCTAAACTCATCATACAAAACACAGCAGCATTAAGCTGTTATTTTACGCTGGTACTCTGTGAGAGCTTCGTCCTTCCTCGATCGAGCCGACCCATTCGTGCTACAACTATAGTATTAATATAGCTACAGCATACTGCAATGATAATTTTAGAGAAATAATGATGAAAGAAATGTTGAATAATGATAGAGCTCTCTACCACGTAAAAATGCAAAAATTGCGCGTTCACCGCTAAAAAGAACCCTCAGTTTCAGAGCACTCCCCTTGCTATCTCACCTAGCATTGGAATCCCCGGCGTTGACAAATCGAATAATGTTCAGTTTCATGGTCACTTGGAAGAGAAGGCCAAATTGGTTGCTAAAAAGCTTGGCGTGCTAGACAGAACGAAACAGTATTTCATGCCGGCACATCGCTTGCAACTTTACAAACCGCAAGTTCGGCCTCACATACATACTCTTCTCATGTCTGGACCGAGGCACACCAGTGCCAGCTCCTTTCACTTGACTGCATCCAGCGCAGAGCGGTTTGAATCGACGACAACCCAGAATTGATTCTGATCGCCTCGATTTACTGGCGCTGCATAGGGATATTGCATCCCTTTGCATTTTCTATCGAATCTACCACAGGGAGTGCTCTGAGGAACGCACATCGCGTAAAAATTCACGATATCATCCTCATCATCTGGATGCTTGGTTGTCCACCACTGTGCATTTTACTAGGAGTTTTCTTTCTCGTACAACTTGTCTGTGGAATTGTTTACCACCGGCAATTTTTGCGGACCGATCCGACTTAGGGACCTTCAAGGAAAGAGCTTACACCTTTCTAAAAGGCTGGCAATGCAACTGCAATTCCCCTGTTGCAGTTGTTCATAGGCGGCGGTAGTCTCTTACCATCAGGTGAGCCGCATGCTCGTGCCCACTCTTCTATAAAAAAAGTTAGATACACGTATATAAAAGTGACGTCTTATGCGGAGTCATATCCAGTATGAGTATGATACTTTGACCAAGTATTTGTCCTTTTACTATTACCAGATAAGTTATATTTGCCACTTTTAACTGATACATTTGAAAAGAGAAAATTATTATCTTAAATAATTTCTTGTGGCAAATGCATCTTTTTTTGATATTTTGG